GTTCAATTCCTACCAGAGGACCTTGTGCTGCATTTTTCGCAGTCGTTCCTGGTTAGGTCTTAAAATGTATATATTCTCACTTGGATTACAAACCCTAACATCCTAACTGTAACTTTATAACTTTGTCTTGACGTCTTTGTCCAGTATATTACTCGTGTTACAGTAACACCAGCAAACGCTTGTAAAGTAATCAAAACATCGCGAAATATTTTAGGTGATATTGTTCGATTTTACTACACTGTCTATTTAAAACAATAGCTCGACAAATTCTAACAGATTTTACAATTGTTCCATATTGTAAATTTGTAGACTGGTATATGCATGTATAACAAATATATCTCTCAGATCTCGCAGATAATCGGTTTAATATATGAATACGTACAAATGAAGATATGAAATTTAAATACTGTCGACTGACAGTCGAAAGCTTGTGAAAAATAAATCATTTAACCAGAGAACGTCTATACTCAATAAGATACGAAATATTCAAAATTAAATGTTTTGAAACTTTTGACGACCCAAGCCTCAGGGTCAAACGTCAAGCGCCACAATTTTCGTGGGTAAAGCTGTGTTTGGCTAATTTTGAGGAAAGGAATTCTTGGCCAAAGTAAGCATACCTTACGTGAGGTCTCAGCCCGCTAAGTAGGTATATGTAGGAGACTATTATAAGCTAAGCTTGTTGCCATTTTGCTTATAATTAATATTTCCTGTTATCTGTATTTGGAAATCGAAACTGTTCACTGTTTTGCTCGTAAACAAAGAATCTTTGGGAATAATTGATTAAAAAATTGACTTTATGCCACGCATATTTTATAAAAGTATTTTTTAATTAAATATTTAACAGATACTGCAGCTTTTAGCTGTAGCTAAACGAAATATTATAACCAATAAATAAATATTAGACTAGTCGGCTCTTTTATTCATGTTGTCTAAGATTTCTACATGTCGTGTATGAATAGTTGCCAACAAGAATCGTCCATATATCAGAGTTTATTTTAAGAAAAAATTAGAACTGAAAATATAGGGATGTTACGAAGGCAACGGGTGTTTGACTGGGGGGGGGGGAGGGGTCGAAGGATTTTTGCCTGCATATAGGTGACATAATAATGGTGTGGTTGGGTGGGAGAATTGGTGAAAGGCCAGACAAACTCGACTTTGGGTGCGGGAGCAATAGGGGATGTTCCCCAAAATAATTTGAATCTAGAGGCTCTTAAGTTCTGGCAAAGATTTGTTTTACCCAACCACTCACAAAAGCTGTTTCAGAATATGTAACTGTGAATCATAGATACTCAATATATAGAACCTTAAATTTGCACTTGAGGTAGCAAAGAATATTAGGTTCTCCCACTCTAATCTCTTTTGGTGAACTTCGCTCGCCCCAATTTTAGCTTCTTTTCCATTACCCCAACACGTAAGTGATTTGTGAGGAAAATAGGAGGGTCTGGAGTCCTCGCCCAGAAAACGTATATATTTTTGATGCTCATTTAATAACAGCATTTTTGAAATTATCTGGAGCATCCACAAGGGCAACGAGTAAATGAGAAGACTGTTTTAATTAAGGCTATTTTTGTTAGTTTGGTGACTGCATATTTGTGTTTTAAGAACTGCACAAATGCGTTTAGAACTGCACGTTTTGTGTAGAACTGCACGTTAAAATAAACCCTGCCATATACGAGTAGTTTCTGGATATCAAAATTATTTTTACTGCGAACTTGCAAACTATAAATATTAATGTATTCAATTGGTCTGCATTACAGATACCAGGAACATGCAGTGCAATCTTGTTAATTAACAAACCACCCTCGCCATCTTGTTTGATTTAACCATAGATATCTTATGAATTTAACGCGCTTCAATACCATGCATGCTTAATGAAAGATGCTTCAAAACCACTGAAGACAACATACGCGCAAAGATATGGCGTTACCCTATGCAAGTTTAAAAAGGCACGCTCGGGATCATAGCTTGCTCCTACTAAAAGAACATACTTTTTTCTGATACACACTGTACGCAATTTTTCAAAGATATGTGCCATATTGTGTATACAATCCAATTATGAGTACGCAGTACTGATTCGCTGGTGTGTCTCAATTGTCTGCACGAATTAAACAGTCAAGTTTTAAAGCAATATTGAACGCTAAACTTTATTCAGCAACGACCAAAGGAGTGAAAAATATACTTTATGTAGAGGGTTCATGATTGTTTAATTTTAAAATTAGGTTGCTATAATTATGCGTTGCGAGGAAAAAATACAACTGGCTAATCAGATGCGATTTTGATTGATAGCTGCATTTCATGTGATTTGTTGAAATGTGTACATTTGCACCAACCTAGACCCAGACCTAAATTTCGCTCTCTTTTCAAACGTAAAGGGATATGGCAATATATTTTTTTATTATTTCATTTTAAAGAACTTTTAAAATTATATGTTAATCTTCTTTACCGATTTTGCGTAACTCTATTATTTCTTGAAATATTTTGACTTTAAATAATTTGCTGTCCGCCATCTTGGATGAATTTTTATCTCATTGTCGGTGATTTTAGGGACGTCATAAGCAGAGTTAGCCATATAAATCTACATCTAAATGACCAAATAACATTAAGTCGTCGGTTATTTCAAACAGTTACTGAAGTACCTGTGTATGATTTTGGGCTCATATATAACCAATTGCTCTATGGATAAAATTCTTGCGTGACCCTGCTTATGATGTCACATGCATATCCGCCAAAATCCAAGATGGCGGGAAGGTCGCTGTTTGTGATTTTTTCTGTTCAAATATCTTAAGAAATAATAAAGTTGCGCAAAATCGGGAAAAGAGATTTACATATAATTTTAAAAGTTCTTTAAAATGAAATAATAAAATCGCCGTATCCCTTTAAATCTGAATGTTTATTTTTTAGGTGCTGGTTATCATTTCATGAACATTTTGATGGAATGGCTGGTAAATGAGGAATGCAGGTATTTGTATTAATGCAGAACCATCCAGTCAGGTCTGTATACATCTGACAAGGTAAATTTGTCAAGGTTTGTATACATATAACGACACTTTAATAAAAACTGTAGTTTAACTTTTATATATATAATGTCGTACTATTACTTACTATAATTGTTCTTCTTGTTACATATTTGCTAACGTGAGTCAAACATGTCAGCACATACATTCCGTTTTTTTGCGAGATTTTGCCTAGTATGGTCTGTGCTGAAAAGCATTGTCTTGATGCCTTTCCTGAAAGTTGTTTATCAGATAACTTTCAATTTTCAGACTATTTCGTTCTAAGGTCAAGATTAAATCGCAGCACTAAAAAATAGTTAGTTTTTTTGCGAGATTTTGCAAACTATTTTACCATACATTGCTGCAAACAATCTTAAATACCTCAGAACATATTATATAGACAATATTTGTGCAAACCGCTCAAATATGTGTATATTATTTCTTTTCTATTTTGTTATATAGGTATTTCAATTATAGGTATAACTCTTAATAATTTTGAATTTTCAGAAAGAGCGACATTATTGGTTCTAATCTTTTCCTTTTTGTATTTCATTATTTCTCCAGACATAGATGAGTGTAAAAACCCGTCTCTATATTCATGCCCTGGTGGATTTGAGTGTGCCAATACTCTTGGCTTCTACAAATGTGTTTGCAATGGAAGCGTGGTAAATGCGAAGATGAAGGTATAGCTCTGATATATTTATGTATAAATATATATGCATGAGTGATTTCTAACATAAAAACTTTCTACTAACGTTGCACAAACAGTATAACCACACATATATCCTATTTGCAAGTATAACATTGATTGGTGCTTTTGGTATTTTATGTAAATAGCAAATACTGTACACACCAAAAGTGTAGGCATGGGTGATCCTTCCACTTTAGGATGAATTTTGTAACTCTTTCAAAACTGTGAAGAACCTGGGGGGTGGGGGGCGTAATGTTTTAATGTTTTCATCTATGACATAAAATATACCAAATCCTTAGCTTTCTGATCATCATGAAGCGTACGTGTCTAAAATGCATGAAAGTGCGTGCAAGAGGCGCAGCCAGCCCCAAATAAGTGGGGAGGGGGAGTGGATCATGTCGACGTGCCCCGGAATATGTTTCTATTTTTAGGGTTGGCAAAACGCAATTTCATGCATTTTAGACACGTAGACCTCCCATCGCAGACCTGACATTCGATCGACTTTTACACTCCAAAGCTCTGTGCCCTGAACCGGGACAGTTAGAACAGAATCGTTTGCGCTGTAAAATCTGCCTTCGCTCATCGGGTTTAGTCACACAGCCACAATCGATTGACTTGTGATCTGGCTTATCACAATAAACACAGGTACGTTGTTGAGTATTCTTTCGTGGTAGACAGGGGTTTCTTTCGGTCCACAATCGCAGTGCTTCGACAAATTTCGGAAAGTCCCATTCGCACCATTTGTCATCCGTTCGAAGTAAATCTCCCTGTGTCCCTTCGAGCTTGTCTATCGACATTCGCACATAACCATTTATCTCAGTTAATTTCCCTAAAGTTTCGAGTGCTTGAACGTTGAATAATAATTTTTCATAAAAATCGTGTATTTTCCAGGGTTGAGTACCATTAATAACTGGTAAAGCCATAATGAAGGAGTAGCTTAGCTGGGGTTTGTCCCGTCATTCGATGAAGGGTCGTGCAGTACAGGAGCAATAGGTTGGAAAGTGTTGCTCGCCAATCTTTCTGTTCTGCTTGGGAAGTCAAAACGTGTTTCTTGATTACTTCGTTAAACTTTTCGACTTGTCCATTGGCTTGGTGCCAATATTCAGTTACTGTTCGTAATTGTATCCTCCAGGAGTTGAGTGTCGACTTAAACTCTTCTGACGTGAAGTATGATGCATTGTCGGACTTGAGAACGTGTGGATATCCATGTTGCGCAAATACTTCGTTTAGCCACTTTAGGATATTAGCTGATGTAACGGTTTTTAAGATCTTCGCTTCAGACCACCTGGAGTAGTAATCTGTGACAACGACTACATACTCGCCTGTTGGAAAGGGACCGCAAACATCTATTGTTAACTGTGACCAACGTTCACCAGGTAACTCGGTGGGGCACATTGGTTCTGGTCGTGGAGGGTGAGATATGACTTGGTATGCATGACAATGTGTGATATGACTCTCAATGTGTTTGTCCATTTGAGGCCACCATAACTTGCTTTGAATTCTCTGTTTGCATATATTTGGTCATATACCTGCATGGTTTTGGTGGGCTATCTCGATCGCACGCATTCGAAGTTTGACTGGAAGGACTATTCGGCTTCCTCGAAGAACAATTCCTTCGTTATTGACACACAGTTCGTCCGTAATAAATTTGTAAGATTGTGGCAGTTGATAACTTTGATTACTTTGTATGTAATCACGAACCTGGATCAACTCTTCATCTTTCATTGATTCTTGTTGTATTTCCTCAACCGACATTGCTTTTGGAACTAACTGTTGGGTCAGATAGTGGACGTATCTATCAGCACAAGCTTTCATGTTGCTTCGGGTATCTGTGGTTGATTTCCTTGGCAGTCGAGATAGGGAGTCTGCAAGGTTGCTGGAACCTGGTTTGTATACCACTTTGAAATCATATTTTTGAAGCCTTAATCGCCATCTTTCGATTCGTGCCCGAGCTGGTTTTCCCAAGTTAGTGGCTTTTGGTTTGTAGATGTGTTCCAGTGGTCGATGATCAGTTTCAATCTCGAATTCGCGTCCGTATAAATACCAACCTCGTTCCCAGGGCTTTTCCCTTTTTGTCATTGGGAAGGCGGGAAAAGGCCCTGGCACCGGCCGGTCTTCTATGTATTCTGATTGGTAAATGACAAGTATATTATTATGCAAATAATGCAGTATTGGATTAATTTATTCAAACTTTGGGATAAATTAACATTTTCACGCAAGGAGTATCCATAATTAATACTTTGTCCGTCTAAGAAATATTTTTGGCAAAATCTGTGTTAAAATGGTTAAATTCGATAAGATTTATACACAACTTGTCGAAGGTTAGTATTATTGTTTGTTTTAAACTGTGAGAAAAGATTAATTGTGTACTAGAACACACCTCTGAGGCTCTGACCGAGTATTTAGGGCAAAATGTGCCTTCATTGGCTTCGTATAGCGTTAATGTTAATATTTATAAAACCAAAGCCTGGGTTTATAAACTAAAACATGTCCTTTAGTTTTTGATATTCTTCATAGTCGAGTTTAAATTGGCCTAATTTAGAGTTAGTTACCACTAAAAATGCGACGATATTTTGTTATATCATATATGCAACAGTGTTTACAACTTTTTGAATAATATGTGATTTGCTTTTTTTTCAGATACTATTACATGTTGCTTCATTTGGAAGATATTAGATCAATTTCAATATGAAAATGCAGGTGTCTTTAGACATGAGCCATAATGTATATATATTTATATATATATATATATATATATATATATATATATATATATATATATATATATATATATATATATATATATATATATATATACAGGGTGTATAAAAAAAAAGGTAATCGAACTTCAGCGCGCTGTTGTATCTGAATTACTCTGCGTATGAACGAGATTTTTCACATTCGGAAAGATCATGCTTTTAGCTGTTGAATGATATCTTCTTCATGTCAAATGGATAAAAAATGAGCAAATACGAATCCGATAAAAAATATTAGTCAGAATCGCATATTTTCACCGTTGAGAGTTGGGTCTAAAACCATTGAAAATTAACCCCCTTTGGTACTTAAGTTGATGAATTTCACTTCATTAAACTACGCACATATTCATAATTAATTATTAAGTGGGAATAAATCTTAGCTAAGCTACGACACGTTCGTGATTAATTGCTTTTCCTTTTGTTATGCATTGTTTTAATTAGGCACAGAGGTGAAAATATGCGGTGAAAATAAACATTTTTGATCGGCCTCGTAGATGCTTATTTTTTCTCCACTTGGTATGAAAAGCGTGTCATTCAATAGCTAAAAGCCTGATCTTTTCGAATATGAAAATAAATTGTTCATACGCCGAGTGATTCACGTATAATAGCGCGCTGAAGTTCGATTACCTTTTTTTTTATACACCCTGTATATATATATATATATATATATATATATATATATATATATATATATATATATATATATATATATATATATATATATATATATATATATATATCATCTGGCATGGTTTTGATGTCCCACAATCGTGAGGCATCAAAGGTAACTGTAAATAGCAGTTACTTTCATCCTGCTCATCAGCACTACACTGATGAGGCCCATAAGGCCGAAACGGTACCGTCTGTAGTTAGATATCGCTCTATGGCCTTTAGGTCATATTGAGCGCTCTACATGATGAGCCATGCCGCTTACGCATTGCGCACGCTCACTGCTTGCAGTTTGAGCGCTCTGGCATGGTTTTGATGTCCCACAATCGTGAGGCATCAAAGGTAGCTGTAAATAGCAGTTACTTTCATCCTGCTCATCAGCACTACATTGATGAGGCCCATAGGGCCGAAACGGTACCGTCTGTAGTTAGATATCGCTCTATGGCCTTTAGGTCATATTGAGCGCTCTACAGGATGAGCCATGCCGCTTACGCATTGCGCACGCTCACTGCTTGCAGTTTGAGCGCTCTGGCATGGTTTTGATGTCCCACAATCGTGAGGCATCAAGGGTAACTATAAATAAGAGTTACTTTCATCCTGCTCATCAGCACTACACTGATGAGGCCCATTAGGCCGAAACGGTACCGTCTGTAGTTATATATATATATATATATATATATATATATATATATATATATATATATATATATATATATATATATATATATATATATATTGAGTCGTGTAATTGTACACTCCGTAATATGTTAAGATGAAAATGTTCTCGAGTGTGTATTATATAATTTCCATACCCAGCGTAAGCAGAAAGATAAAGTCTGCCGCGGCTGGGTATTGAACCCGCGACCTTCGCATTACTAGATCGACGCTCTACCAACTGAGCTACACGGTCAGACGGATTTAAGACTGGAAATTATGAAATATATACTGAAAAAACACTTGCAGAACACTTGCAGAACTAGCATTGTTCGATGCTGAATTAATATAAACGAGTATGTTTATGACATTCAGTATATATTTCATAATTTCCAGTCTTAAATCCGTCTGACCGTGTAGCTCAGTTGGTAGAGCGTCGATCTAGTAATTCGAAGGTCGCGGGTTCAAGACCCAGCCGCGGCAGACTTTATCTTTCTGCTTACGCTGGGTATAGAAATTATATAATACACACTCGAGAACATTTTCATCTTAATATATATATATATATATATATATATATATATATATATATATATATATATATATATATATATATATATATATATATATATATATATATATATATATATATATATATATCAAAATACTGATAAAATCCATTTCCAGCTTGATTGTATTTGTATTGTTGCAGACAAAGTTGTGCAATGGTGGGCTTATATGTCACATACTGTACTCGTATGTAATTCCATGTGCATGCTTGTACTTTGATGCCTCAAGAGATGCTTCGAATGTGTAATAAAGGGCTGTTTCCAGGAGTTGTTTTTATGATATTTTAAGATTGTATTCCTATGGCTGGACCATCTTGCCATTGCCACAATGTCTGATGTTCAAACAGGCTTTAAAATCAGGTTACAATGCATGCTTGAAAATATGCAACAATTTCACTGTTAATAATATTCCAGAAAATCCTGTCTCTTGAGCAGATCTGGACTGATTTGTCAGAGGGGGTTGGAGGTTTTCTACTTATGGTTGGGCAAGTGGAGCTAGCCAAGGGTGCTGGGTCAGAGTCAAATTCATATGAACAGCTTCTAAGTCCTAATTATATTGATAAATTATGTACACTTTGGGATGGTAATGCAATTTGTAAAATTATCCACATTTTATTTAATAAAATTTAATTATATACATTGTTTTGTTGTTTATATTAACACCTTGGACAGTGTATATTTACACCTTTGGACTCTGTAAATAAACACCTTTGGGTGGGGTACCCATTCTAAGCCAAAGACGTTTAAGAACAATTATCAAGGTATTTGCATGATAAAATATGTTTAAAACTGCTCTCCATATACATGTAATGCATGGTTCAATTCTTGCTTTTACCAAGTAAACCAAGGGATTTTCAATGTCCCCCTCCTCCCGTAGAATTCACATGAAGTGACTGGGGCAAGGTAGCTATAAGTATAAGTAGATATATAAAAGTCAATTAAAATTTAGAAATAGAGCTTTTTGAATATCGACCATTGCAAATTTTTTTAAAATTTGTTTAACCCTTTATAGTGGCAATGTGCCCTACTTTAGTATATTACTCCGTCTGGTGGCAGACAATTTTACTCAAGGGCAGAATGTAGACTTACCACAAGTCGACCTCAAACGAAACGTCGACGCAACTCGCTGCTTGCGTTTCGTT